TTGAGACAAAAGCGGGGGGGGGGGGAAGGTACAAGACGGTATTTAACAGCTTTAGTGAAGGAAAGGACTACAATCCCATGAAGCACTGTAAATGACTTGGAAAAAAAAAAATATTTACATAAAAGTGTGCATATGAATGTGGTCCAAAAATCCACAAAGATTCTTAAATTTCTCTATTCTTTTCTAATTTATGGTTTTAATCACAAATTAAATTATCAGTATAATAATTTGCGTAAAAGTTGGAAAATGTACATGAATTTGAGGATGTTTTATTATTTGCTATGTCACTCTTTGTACTTGAATTATTTTGCCATTCATATGAGACATTTTGACACCGTGACTTATTTTGCAGGAACGGTTCTTGTGCATTGTGCCGTCGGGCTGAGCAGATCTGCTACGTTGGTTCTCGCCTACCTCATGATTTGGCAGAACATGACTTTAGTAGAGGCCATCAAGACCGTGAAGGACCACCGTGGCGTCACGCCAAACCGCGGTTTCCTACGGCAGCTCAGCGGTCTGGACAGCGTACTGCGCGCCAGCCGCAATGCAACATAAAGCCAATGGTAGCATCTGAATTTAGTTTATTCCAGCTGTCCTCCTGCGGTCAGTAGAAATGCCTTATTACATCAGGACCTCTAGTAATGTGTGTAATGCCTTATTCACTCTTAAATATTCACATCTGTTCATGTGACCACCCACTGAAATGTTGCTGTAGCTTGCTGTAGTTAATCGCCGCAGAGAATGACAAGTGTTTTCGTTAAAAGGGGCCATTCACACAAAACACGTTTTTGTTTAAAATGCAAGTTTAATTAGAACAACACAAGGTGTAGACAAGTTTAGAACAGTTTGTCATGTGCGAGACACTGCAAAGAAGCGAAGGCATTGGTCCAAGATGTCTGTCTTGTGCATTTTTACAGAGAAAAATAAAGGCAAAGAAGCGCAGTGGAATGCAAAAAATGGCCCCGAGCCTGGTTTATGCTCGCCGCAAGTTCATTTCATTGTGCATGACAAAAATTAGGTCATGGCACCATTGGCATACAATTCAAAATTAACTGGACAGACAGAATGTGCTAGGATGAGATTCGAATGTGATATAGATTTTCCAGACTTGGGCTATGTGCTGGAAACAAATATGGAAAACAAAAACGTCTGCCATCTTGAACAGATTTTAAGCAAGCACCTGTTGCTGCTGTTGCTCATACTTAAGATTTGAAGACAAAATATAACCATGTAAGTATTAAAAATTTCTGACCACCTGTCCACCTTATTTTTCATTAAAAACAGGCGCGGCCATTTGTAAATTTTATGGGCCTGACTTCTGGGCTAATCGGTATCCAGCTATTTTTAGCTGTACAAAACAGCTCGTTTTGCTGCTTGATATTGCAAATTGGTGCGTCTTACCATATTATTTTAATGTATTACCTTAATTAAGAACAGACTGGTTTGTAGCGCAAACAGTTTGACCGTTTACTGCACGTTGTTATCCTTCTCGTTATAACGTTAGCTGATAATGAACCTGAATTCTCGCCCTTACTTCCCCGTTGAAGAATTAATGTGGATAACAATATTGAGTAGCGGAATAGAAAAATGCAACGTCCAGAAACACGTTTTTAAACGTTGACATTAATTTAATGTGAGCGCCACGTTTAGAAGGCCTTGTCATGCGTAGAAGGCAAAAGATGCAAAAGAATGTCCATCTAGCACATTTTCTCATAAAAAACGATGGAAACGCAGTGCAGTAGAATGCAAAAACATGTTAGGAGCCATTCACACAGAATGCTTTTTTTAATGTTTAGAAATGCCAGATGTGGTGTAGCGGAATAGGGGGAAAAGGCGAGTTTCATAGACGTTTTAGTGCTGATATTTAGAACGCTGTCATGTGCGAGACACTGCAAACACAACCATAAAAAATGCGTCCATCTAGCGCATGTTTACAAAAAAAGAATGTAAAAGCAGCGCATGTTTTTACAACACCCGTGTCATGCGGGAGAGGTCAAACACGTTTACACGCACACGTTTACATAATGCAACAGGAAAAACAACTGTGGAATGCAAAAATGCGTTCTGTGTGAACAATCCATTAGCAACTGCCACAGACACACATCAATCCCTTAAAAAAATCTAGTGACCACATAGAATTGGCATTGCAACACCCTAGCAACCACTCAGAGCACTTTAGTAACCACCTAGACAGCAATGTCTTAGCAACTGCCAACAGCACCTTAACAACACAGAACAATGTACCACATGATACTACCATATAGTGACCATCCAGAACACTCTAACATCACCCAAATATTTTGGTGACCAGGTTGTCACAGGAAGCACCGCTCTTATGTCATCCAGAAGATGCAATTTTTCACACAAATTCAAAATTTTCCTATGATGCACTGTTTTAATATTATGAAAATTTGAAAGTATGATCCATCGGTTTTGCATTTCAATTTAGATAATGTAGCTGGTCACATTCATTACAGTGAATCAGATCATGTGATATGACACTGAGCTCTACTGTACATGAGATTATATGCAAATTGCAGTCAGTTTTATTACACATTAACTTATCATTGACGTGTGCTTTGTATAAATACTAAAGATGTCATGTGAAGTATTCTACATGTTTCAAGTTGTCTCTTTTAACTTGTTTTGTAAGGTATTGTAATATAGAGTAGCTATACTGTAAGAAGTGCAGTCTTCTTGTACTTACAAATCCAGCAAATCCTCAAGTGCAGTACAATGTACCGACTGTAGCTGTATGAACTGCATTGTGCTATTATTGTCATTTCTGTACATTTGTATTATTGGGGACAGCTGTTTATTGTATTTGTGTATGTGTTTGTCGTCATTACATCTAACAAATATTCACTGCAACAGCTGGAGCTGAACTACTGCCAGGACTGCAAATACCTTCCACTGTACGTGGATCTAAACTACTCGCCAGTTTGTGTCGTAGGAACAAGTGTTGATCGCTCAGAGATTAAACTTGTTTTGGACCAAATTTTGTAGTTTTGAGCCAGGAGCATGCAGCCGGAGACAAAACGGGGCGTTCAACAAAATTTAAAAACATTATTTTATTTATAATGTACGTGAAATCTAATAAACATCATTTCATTTTCCAAGTTGCTTTTGTGCTTGATCTGGAAATGTCTGTTTATGCATAGCTGTTTAAATTATATTTCCAGCAAAACAGTTTTCTTTTTTTTTTTTTTTCACAAAATATGACATGAGAAACGGCCATGTATTGATGATTTATTTATGAAACTTAAAGACAATATTGTAGCCTACAAAAAAGACATGCCACTGTTTTTATTTATTTGTGCAAATTTTTATTTTTTTTTCAATTTTGTTACATTTTGAGATGAATAAAAATGCTTTGTTTACATTAGTTTATTTGCTTTTTACTTGATAAAAAAAATAATGCAGGACTGTGGGAATGAACTCAAGTCTCAAAGTAAAAACTAAATTTAGATTCCAGTCTATAAAGCACTAACATGGCACATAACTTCAACACGGATTGAAGTAAAAAATTTCTTTATGATGCTTTTCTCTTTACAAGACATTATTAATTGATGGACCGGATTGGTGTGAATTACTCATTGTGATGTTTTTATCAGCTGTTTGGACTCTCATTCTGACGGCACCCATTCACTCCAGAAGATTTATTGGTAAGCAAGTGATGTAATGCAAAATTTCTCCAAATCTGTTCTGATGAAGAAACCCCCTCATCTACATCTTGGTTGGCCTGAGGGCGAGTACATTTTCAGCAAGTTTTCATTTTTTGGGTGAACTATTCATTCCTCTAAAACCCTTATTATAGCGCCACCCTGTGGCCAAGTCATACATAATGTAGTGCATGTTGCATTAGCAAATGTTTCGATTTTCATGATGATTAAGTATTCGCAATTAAAATGACTGACTGATGAAATATGAACTTTGCCCTCACTGCCCCGTGATGGTTGACTCTAAGTTCACTTTGTAGTGGAGAATTCTGCACTGAATGTTGCACTGTGGTGTCATTTAGCCTTTGTTAAAATCTTGTTTGCCACAGAGCAGAGCTGAATGTTCCCACAGAACCACTGAATGTTTAGGGCTGTTTGTGAATAAGCAAGTTGGTGAGGGAGCATGGAATCAATAATTTGTTATTTGAAAAGACAAACTACTAAAGGTCTACAGAAAAACTACTAAAGGTCTACAGAAATATTTACAATCAGCTAATTAATTTCAGTATAAAAAGCAATAAAATAAAATGCCAAAACAAAACATTTATATCGTCACATTTTGCATAGGCCTATATATGTTCAACATATTACGATCTGGGGTGCACTAAGGTTGATCCAAGTTTTTTTTTCTTAATCCCAACACAATAGTTGAATATCCAGCATAACGAGAATGTGATCAAAATTGAAAATTAAGAATAACTCTTTATAATTCTGCCGTAAGGTCATGCAATTAGGAGGAACTAATTCACTCTCATAGCTTTCTCAGGAACACTCTCATAGCTTTATATTAAATATTAAATGAATCTTCAGTGAATTCACTCTGGTGTCTAATGTCAGACTTGTTAGCAGGGTGTGAACAAATAACCCACTGAGTCAGCATGACCAGCGCCCAGGATACAAAGCCACTGGCCCAAATTTGCCTTTAACCAGGTCAGACTTCTGTCTAAACATGCCTTTTAAAATCTCCTTTTTTTTCTTTTTCGAGGTTTAATATTGCAAAAAAAAAAAAATCCATACATCTTAGATAAAAACATAGTTAGTCTATTCAGTTTTTTAAATATTTGTTCTTAATTAAATGGAAAACAAATTTTGAGGCTTTGACTGTGATTTTTGTTTTTCAAATAAAACATTTTGAAAAAAGTCAAGAAATGTTTATGCCGTTTTTTTTTTTTTTTTAAATATCGGATAACAAATAATATCAGATAAATTAATAACTATTCATGCAATACTTTTTTATAGCCTATACTTTAGGTCACAAACGTTTTATGTTATATAATAGAAATAGAAACACACACACACTAATTATACCATATCATATTATATTATTACTGTTTCTTTTTATAATAGTGCAATTTAATTTGATGAGCATGAGAAGTTTTATACGGAGTGAATCACTGAATAATGAGTGAATCGTCTGGTATTTATGCTCCGCCTCCTGAATTACAGGCGGGGTTTATTGTTGTCTCGTGCATGTGGATATGTGGGTCTGTCTGCGGTCCGTTACATTGTTTGATCTCCGTGATCCGGGCGGGACTTTATTTTATTCACATTTACAGGCTCTCAATATTGTAGATGTAACTAAACAGTCAGTGATTAATTTGAGCCGTTTATACGCTTGAACCGTGAGTTCCGAGTATGAAGAATAAACACTGAAGTAAAGACACTCAGGAGCCTGTTTATAATGGTGAGATATCGTAAATAAATTAATCTTTAATGTCATTGTAAATTTATTAATGTTTTCTTCATCGTTCAGATTAATCCAAAGGTCCATCATTTTTTTTTTAATCTGTTAAAAGTACTAACGTGTTTGAAAAAGAAATGCTGCCTGCCTTTTTGCTTCTAAATATTACCCTACGCTCGTTCAGGCTCTTATTGTTATGAAACTGGGTATATGACATATCAATCAAGTTTTGCCTTTTTTCAGGGCTTCAGGAAATGATTAATATTTAAAACACCATGCCTCCAGTGACCTCTCAGGAACTCCCTCTCAACATCTATGTGGTCATCTTTGGCACTGGGATCTTTGTCTTTGTTTTAAGCCTGATATTCTGCTGCTTCTTTATAAGGTAAGTGTGACTAGTTACCAGAACAGCCAGTGTGGACTATGCAGATCCTGGGTGACATTTCTAAAACTCTTCTTTGTGACTGGACTTCATCAGTATGGTCCTGTAAATAACGCCTGTGACAGACTGACAGCCTCAGAGCAGAAAGGACTTCCTCTGGCCTCACGCGCTTCCGAACTCGAACAATTCAGGACTAGATTGTATCTCTGTGCTTTTTGTTCACAATGCTATTTTTGACCAGAGGCTTTTGGCTAATGTCATGTCAAACACTGGGAACTACAAACCCTTTCTCGCCAAATTTTTTAGAAACATAAGACACAGCACAGCCATTGCCTATACTACCATAGTGATGTCTAAAGAAAAAAAAATTACATTGAAAATGTACAAAATAATAGAAATAATAACAAATATTACATTTGTATAATATTTAGACTTTTTAAAGTTTGAAATATGTATTTATTTTTATTTTTTGTTAATGTTAATGAATTGTATGGCCTG